AGTTTTTTGTTTTAAATGCAAGCTATTGTGACACCAGTGAGTGGTGGCACTGGGCCACCGATATCCACTGTTGGCGTAACACACCGCTTTAGGCGCGGCGCTATTCAATCTATAACGAGTGAAAAGTTTTTTGTTTTTTAAATCCAATATTATTATGACACCAGTGAGTGTTGGCGCGGTCACCGTATCCACTGTTAGCGTAACACACCAGCTTTAAGGACACTGACTTTGCTATTCAATCTATAACAGTGAAAAAAGTTTTTTGTTTTTAAATCCAAGCTATTGTGACACCAGATGTAATTGGTGGCACTGACTGGGAAATGGGCACTGTGAGCCTGACACAGAAGCTGGCAGCAGTGGCAGACAACTGACTGCTATTCAATCTATAACAGTGAAAAAAGTTTTTTTTTTAAATGCAAGCTATTGTGACACCAGACATAAGTGGTGGCACTGAGTGGGGAAATGGGCACAGTATCCACTGTGAGCCTGACACAGAAACTGGCAGCAGTGGCAGACAACTGACTGCTATTCAATCTATAACAGTGAAAAAAGTTTTTTGTTTTTAAATCCAAGCTATTGTGACACCAGATGTAATTGGTGGCACTGACTGGGAAATGGGCACTGTGAGCCTGACACAGAAGCTGGCAGCAGTGGCAGACAACTAAGTGCATTTACATTAGATAGAAAAAAAAATCCAAAAAAAGCATACCCTTATCCCTAACCTAGCTATGCTTTTCCCTATCTTATGAACAGCAGCTACACTTTCCCTCCTCTTACTAAGCATGCAGCTTGAGAATGAATCTAAAATGGATGCCTTCCAGGAGGTGGGAGGGTCTGCTAGGGAGGGCGTGCTGCTAATTGGCTGGAATGTGTCTGCTGACTGTGAGGTACAGGGTCAAAGTTTACTCAATGATGACGAATAGTGGGCGGATCGAACCGCGCATATGTTCACCCGCCGTGGCGAACGCGAACATGCTATGTTCGCCAGGAACCATTCGCCAGCGAACCGTTCGGTACATCACTACTTGGGACCAGCAGTCAAGATCTTTGAAGCAGTAGAGGATGAACTAGAATTAAATTGCGCCATCTTAAGTGGTTAGATCCAGAGAATGATTTAAGTTGGCAACGCCAACAATGCGGTTGTCACAGAAAATCGATCTTGCTCGAGATTGAGCCCAAACATGTAACTATGGCTCTGAACGAGCCAGACACACACGCAAAAGGTTTTCTCTTTGGGGACAACTTTGTAAAATAATTGGGCTCCTTTGTCCACACATTGACGGCTCTAGAGAAAGCACAATCCAAGATGCGCAAGCTATTTAACCCTAGAGTTTTTGCTGGGGCCAGAAAAGCCGGGAGCCATCTGTCTGTCTGAATAAACAGAAGTTCTTTTAGACAGAACCAAGGCTCTTATAATGGCCAAACCGATTTCTTTGAACATTGCACTATACCAACCTTCTTCCCACAACATGGTCGACCCTGGGTTGTTAGTGGCCCAAGAGGTGCTAACAGTGAAAAAAGTTTTTTGTTTTAAATGCAAGCTATTGTGACACCAGATATAAGTGGTGGCACTGAGTGGGGAAATGGTCACAGTATCCACTGTGAGCCTAAAACAGAAGCTGGCAGCAGTGGCAGACAACTGACTGCTATTCAACGTCTATATCAGTGAAAAGTTTTTTTAAATGGTGTGTTATTGTGACACCAGTGAGTGGTGGCACTGGCACTCATTCACTCGTTACGCAACACACCTCGCTTTTGGCGACACTGACTGCTATTCAATCTATAACAGTGAAAAAAGTTTTTTGTTTTTAAATGCAAGCTATTGTGACACCAGTGAGTGGTGGTACTGGGCACCATATCCACTGTTAGCGTAACACACCCGCTTTAAGGACACTGACTGCTATTCAATCTATAACAGTGAAAAAAGTTTTTTGTTTTTAAATGTAAGCTATTGTGACACCAGTGAGTGGTGGCACTGGGCACCGTATCCACTGTTAGCGTAACACACCCGCTTTAAGGACACTGACTGCTATTCAATCTATAACAGTGAAAAAAGTTTTTTGTTTTTAAATCCAAGCTATTATGACACCAGTGGTGGCAAGTTATTATGACACCAGTGGTGGCACTGGTCACCGTATCCACTGTTAGCGTAACACACCCGCTTTAAGGACACTGACTGCTATTCAATCTATAACAGTGAAAAAAGTTTTTTGTTTTTAAATGCAAGCTATTGTGACACCAGTGAGTGGTGGTACTGGGCACCATATCCACTGTTAGCGTAACACACCCGCTTTAAGGACACTGACTGCTATTCAATCTATAACAGTGAAGTTTTTGTTTTAAATCCAAGCTATTATGACACCAGTTAGTGGTGGCACTGGGCACCGTATCCACTGTTAGCGTAACACACCCGCTTTAAGGACACTGACTGCTATTCAATCTATAACAGTGAAAAAAGTTTTTTGTTTTTAAATCCAAGCTATTATGACACCAGCGAGTGGTGGCACTGGTCACCGTATCCACTGTTAGCGTAACACACCCGCTTTAAGGACACTGACTGCTATTCAATCTATAACAGTGAAAAAAGTTTTTTGTTTTAAATGCAAGCTATTGTGACACCAGATATAAGTGGTGGCACTGAGTGGGGAAATGGTCACAGTATCCACTGTGAGCCTAAAACAGAAGCTGGCAGCAGTGGCAGACAACTGACTGCTATTCAATCTATAACAGTGAAAAAAGTTTTTTTTTTTAAATGCAAGCTATTGTGACACCAGTGATTGGTGGCACTGGGCACCGTATCCACTGTTAGCGTAACACACCCGCTTTAAGGACACTGACTGCTATTCAATCTATAACAGTGAAAAGTTTTTTGTTTT